GACTTATTTATAGATTTGGTAATGACTTGCAGTAGGTGCACGCTGAATAGCAGAAGGAGAAAAATGACACATTTTTTCCTTACATTTTACATGACTAGTAGTAAAACAGAATCCTTACAATACCACTAACGGGTATATTTAAATAATTCAAAATGTATTTTTATTTACATATTTCATCAGTAAGTTAAGTTCTTTTTTAAACAGTAAGCATTGTAGTTTAGAAACATTTGTTATACTACATGCGTTCGAATCCCGGATTAGTTACTCATTCCTTATGAGTTGTATTTTTGACTGTATGTGTATGGTCAGCCCTTTGTATCTTCAGGTTCTACACCCATAAAAAAATTACAAGTCAAAAATGTTCGATAAAAAATGTTGGCACTAAATGTGCACCACAAACTGTCTTTTCTTGCCATTAATCCCTAAGTAAGAGTACAACTAATATTTACATAGCATTTACATGTTATTGGATATTAGATGTAATCTAGAGATGACGGAAAGTATATGGGAGAACGTGTATAGGTTATGTGCAAACACTACACTGTAGTATAAGGGACTTGGTGTTCACTGGGGTTGTGGAACTAATAAACCAAAGGACACGGGAGTGAAGACTGTATATATGAATACTGTCTGTAAAAGTAGAATTCTGAGACCTGTGTTTTAAATACTGTAAATGTTCAATAAGAATAAGATTTATTGTAAGTTGCAAGTTACCAAAAATGTAATAAATTTAATAACTTCTTCCTTCAAGGATTCAAATTACTTCATTATAAAATATATTAACATAGTACTTGTGTTAGTAATATACAAATATAAGAAAACAACTGCAGCTTTATAAAAGTGTCAAGATTGTGAGGGTAATGAAAAAATAAATGAATTATTTTGAACCCTTTGTTAAAATTTTGTGTCTTTCCCTTGTGATTTCTATGGTGACTTTAAATGACTATTTATTTGTTTGTTTATTCTGTAAGTTCTTACACTAGGAATCATATAGCTGTTATTTACAGTAAACCTCTTTCCCAGCAGGATTTTGAAAGGAGCTCATGTTTTTGAATGTTAAATTTTTCTTTAAATTGTTGAGTAGTGTAATTTGAATTTCTTTAAATTGTTGAGTAGTGTAACTTTTTGTGAATCTCTCATATCTTGTGTATCCATTTACTTTTTGACATACATTTGGGTAGCTACTTTTGGAAGGCACATACATGCATACTTGTTGTGTATATACCAAAAAGATTGTCATAGAAGTTAGTATCTTTGATTTTTGTAGATGATGCATGCAACCAGTTCCTATAAAGTAGTTGTACTAATTTAACACCAGCAGTGTATGTGTATTCCTCTTGTTTCATACACTCAGCAACATTTGATTATTTAAAAATTATAGCCTTGTAGGTTCATATGTAATAGCACTTCATTGTATTCATTTTAATTTGTATTTTTTAATGATTAATGTGATTGAGGACCTTTTAATATGTTCATTAACCAGGGACCATATTTTCATCTTCATTAGTAGTCTATTATCTATTCTTTTATCAGTAATATAATAACCTTAGTTACTATAGCTTTACCATAAATACTAACATCTTATAGAGTACAGCTTTCCACTCTCTTCTGCAAATGTCTTTGTTATCCTTGGTCCTTTGTTTCTCATATGCATTGTAGATTCCAGTTGTTAAATTACACACATATGTATGCATGCACACATGCCCATTAATTATTTAGCGTGGAGGGGCTGGGGATTTAGCTCAGCGGCACAGCGCCTGCCTGGCAAGTGCAAGGTCATGAGTTCGATCTCTGGTACCGGAAGAAAAGATCAAAAAAAAAAAAAAAATTAGCGTGGAATTGCATTACATCTTAGAGATTGATATAGGGAGCTTTGACATTTCTGTCATATTCAGTCTTTGGCATAGTCCTCTGTTTAATTAGATTTTCTGTTCCAGTAATATTTTATAGTTTTCTAGGTGAGCTCTTGCTCTCTCTTAGATGTATTCCTTGGTTTTGGCAATATTTTGATGCTTTTATATACGACATCACTTAAAGTTTTTTCTTTCCTTATATTTAGGAATGGACTTGATATTTTATGTGTCAACCCTATGAGCAGTAAATTTGTTATATTCATTGTTGAGTGACTTATTTTGAGGTTTAACATATATTCAATAAAGCATAAACTTTAAAACATGTATCTTCATGAGTTATATAAAAGATGTATAATCCCATAAAATTTTGTATCGTAATCAAGAAGTGGCAGTTCATAGCATCTGAGAGTTTCCCAAAAATGCTTTAACATCCCTCCTTTTTACATGCTCCTAAAGAATGATATAGGATGTGCTTTGCCTGTGGCTTCTTCTTGACATAATGATTTTGAAATTTGTGCATATTCTTGTGTTTTGTCAATATTTTTAGTAATTTTTTGTTTCTTTTTAAACCTGGGTGAAAAAAAAAAAAACAAACCTGGGTGGTTTTTCCTATATGTAGACTGTCCACTTCATCCCATTGACTTATATGTCTCTCCTTCATCAATAATAAACTGACTTGATTACTGTAGTTATAGACTAAATATTGAACTTATATCTGTGTTCCAGTTTTTTTTTTTTGTTCTCTTCAAAGTTGTTTTGACTACTGTAGGTTATTTGTATTTGAATATAAATGTTGTAGTCACTTGGTTAATTTCTCTTTAAAAAGCCTACTGCATAATATTTAGAATTGTGTACAATCTATATATCAGTGTGGGGAGAATTGATAGCTTGACAACATTGAGCTTTCCAGTCTATTAACATTGTATACCTATCCATTTATTTAGGATTTAATTTTTTCTTAGCAATCCTTTGTAGTTTTAAGTGTGCAGGTCTTTATCATATTTTGATGAAATTTTCAATTAGTATTTAATGGTTTATATACACTTATGAATTAAATTGTATTTTGAAATTATTTCTCCAGTTGCTTATTGCCATTATAATAGAAATATTGAGTTTATTTATAGTTCCCCCTTATCCTGGGACCTTGACAGACTTACTTATTAGTTGGAAAAGCTTTTTGGTAGATTACTTAAATTTTATTGTTTTTTACTTATGAGTTACCTTGTCTGTTCAAGGTATATCCTTTCTAGTCTGTATGCCTTTTATATACTTCACTTATTGCCTAGGCTGGGATCCCTGAAATCATGTGAACAGAAATGGCGAAAGCAGATTTCCTTGCCTTGCTCTCAATCATAGGGAAAACCATTTAGTCTTTAAGTATTAAGTGTAATGAAGGTTTCTCATAAATACCTCTTATTAAAGATATATCCTCGTTGTAGTTTGCTGAGAATCTTTGTCATGAATGGATGAAGTGTCTTATTTTTTTCTTCAAACATGTTGTTGTTATTTTACAGTATTGGCGATTACATGGCCTTGGCACAGAGCTACATCCCTAACCCCTGTTTTTTATTATTTTGAGACAAAATCTATACAAGTTGCGAAATTGCTCAGGCTAGGCTTTAAATTTGTCACCTTCTTGCCTCGGCCTCCCAGAGTGCAAGTATTGTAGGCCTGTAACACCATGCCCAGATATATACAGGTTATTTTTATTCTTTATTTGGGTAATATGACAAATTACATTAATTTTCCCAATGTTGACCTAACATTACTTCCTTAGGGTAAATTTCACCTTGTTATATATTATCCTTTCATGATTTCGTTTACTAATATGTTGTTAATGTTTTTTATAGCTTTATCATGAAGAACATTTTCCACAGTTATGTTTTCGTCTGATTTTGTTATTAGTTATATTGGTCTTACAGAGTTAACTGGGGACTTGCTCTTTGATCCTACTTCCCAAGAAACTTTGCATAGGCTAGGTGTTTCTTCTTTTTGAATTATTGCTTGGAATTTACCAGGGAATTATCTGTATCTGGAATTTTTGTGAGTAGGTGATTTCTGTAATAGAAATAGGGCTACTAAGATTTTCAATTTGATTATTTGAATCTCAGACTCTTAATTTGTTCATGTCATCCAATTGTTGTTACTTTATCGACCAAGTTTTTCTTACTAACTTGCCTCTCACCTCTCTAACACCAGGCTGCTATTATCCATCTTAGGACCTGAGGTAATGTTTCTGATACTGGTGATTTTTTCAGGTTGATTTTGGCATCTGGATGTATTTCCCTCCATGTCTTCCACTGACCTGTGTTTTTAGGTGATTTTCTCTGAGTTACTTCACTATGGCTCCTCCTCTATCTAGCCATGTTGAAAAGCTGATGTTGGTGATTTTTATCTTCTATGTTGCCTATATTTTTTCTTCACTGAAGTTGGTCAATTTTATTGATCTTTTAAGCATCAGGTTTTTGGTTATAATGAATTTTATGTTTTGTCCATGTTCTGTTTTCTTGATTTCTGCTCTAATTTTCATTATTTTTCAGCATCTTATTACTTCAGGAGGTAGATTTGTACCTAAGAGAAGTTAAGGATATTCTGATCTTTCATCTTAAATTGAAAAGAAAAATAGAGCTCATATATTAATAGGTGTTCCTTACTGTCTGTCCCTACAGTGTTTGCCTCTGTCAGTGCTGTTACAGTCTTCCTAATTACCTGTAATGTCTTTCACCCAAGACTATAACATCATTGAAAGAAGATTGTAGGTGTATTTTCATATTATGTTCGTAGAACCAGATGTATTTTTGAAGCTAATAATGAACAATTACAAAAATATGGAAAGCTAGATAATACATTGCTCTCAGAGGTGTGGCTAACAGTGTGAAATTATGTGCATACTGACATTGAACAAATATATTCGTTTGCTTTTTGTCAATTACAGATATGAGAAGCAAATACTTACTAATTCCAATGAAATCTCTTCCTTGAAGGCTGTATAGAAAAATACAGTTGAGGAATTTGGCCTTTCTATTTATCTCAAATCAGACTTATTTTTGAAAATTGGTGTCTTTTCTTACAAGAATGTATATCTCTGTAGTACATCCTTTACTCAAGTAATAAGTAGTAACCATAACTTTTCCCCTTTACTTGAAGCTACCTCCGTGAGAGAAGAACTGTTACTACCTCAACTGGAAAATCTGTGACACTGCCAAGTGAGTCTGTGTGCTGGAGTTTCTGTGAATTAGCCTTCATTTGATAGTCTTAAAAGTATGTTAAAACTGTGATTGAAAAGGCAGCCCATCAGTGGTCTAGGGAATAATGGGAATCGTGTTCTGCGGGTATTCATAGTGCTCAGATGCTTTGAAAGAGAAGTGAAAAAAGGACAGTAATACACACTAAAAACTCCTTGAAATTTGCATCTGCTTATGTACAAAAAATTTTTAATACAGGCTTCATTTGTTATTAGCTACAGCGGAAGGCATTTATCTAAATTAAATGCTTTCTGGTAGTCTGAGCTACAGGGCAAAGATAATATGGGAAATGGTTTTGCCATGGTAACAGGAAAGGGCTGATAAATTGATGTGAGAGAGGTTTTTTTTCCTTTCTTTTTGAAAATTTTGATTATACAAGTTCAGGAACATTCTTCTTGAAAATTTGAGTGATACCTAGCTGTTACGTTAGTGAACTGTTTATAAGTATTCATTTAATACTATAATAGAATTAAGATCCTATCATTTAGGGTTTTTTAAAATTTAGGAATTATCACTACAGATGACACCATTACAATTTCTGATCTGTATAGGCAGAATTCTTGGTTATATTAATGGTAATCTTGAAGGTTCAAACGGATAGGTACATGTGACAGGTTATAATTTAATAATTACTCTCATAATTATGAAATGAGTGGGTTATAGAGTGAATTGTATTATGAATACCATGGCGTGAGAAAATTTAGGGGGTAAGAATTATGAGCACTTTCAACTCTCACAATATAAATCTTAAGTTGTGAATTGCTATAAAATAATTTAAAACATGCTTTTATTTCCTTTTTTTTTTTTTTTTTTTGCACAAATTCACATTATTCCTTTTTCCATTGTCATCCTGTAATTCCTCAAAAGATTCAAACGAGGAGAATTCATCTTCCATCTTTCCTTATGGAGAGACCTTTCTCTTCCAGAGACTAGAAAATTCCAAGGTTAGTCTCATACATTTATTTTTTTTTCCATAATCAGATACTATTGCCTCTATATGCCTTTTCATTTTGTTGCAACTTTGTTTGAAGAATGCATTACATTGAAAAAGAAAATTTCCAGACAATAAAATTCCTACTCAATAAAACTATGGTAAAGCTATATCTTTAGATTTATACCTTAAAAACACACTTTCATTTTGAATTTAGGAGGAGAGGATATTGGGTTCTAAAAATTTGCTGAAAGATAGAACTGTCTTACTAAAAAAAAGAAAAATGCCCCATAGATACTCTCAGAATTTGCTTTGATTTATATCCAAATGCATTCATTTTGTTTTTTAGACATCTAATTGTTTATATATTTTAGTTATTCAGTTTATCACTTATGCTTTCTTTTCCAGTGCTTGTACCCTTTGCTATTTTATTTCTTGATCTTGTTATAGTATAAAAATATAGCAGAGCAGTAGAGGTACATGAATTTTATTCTTAGTTAACTTCTTTTATTCTACAATGAAATGATTAGCTAGTGATTTAAATAAAAATAAAAAAGTATCATAAGTTATTAATGTAATTAAATTGTTTTTACTCAAAAGTCAATCCACACAATTAGACATTTATTTAATTAAATTCAGATATGTATTAAGGAAAGTTGTGAAGTGTTGCTACACCAAAAAAATCTCCAAACCATAAAGTAAAAAAACTTAAGTGTATGTATGTATATATTTTATTTATTTATAGAAGAGATCTATAAAGAATGAATTTTGGACCCATGAAGAAACACTCAAAGGGGAAGCAAGTACTTCAGTGAACTCTTTTTTAATCAAATCAAGGTATGCAGGCCTGACTGATGATAATGAATTCCTTAGAATAAAACGTTTTAAAATGTTGACATCTTGCTTATAGGACAGTATTGTATTTCTAAGAAGATAATCTATATGGGTAATGCAAAGGTTTCCTTTCTAAATGTCTTCATGGCAGTACCCGTTGTAATAACTGAATTACAGTCTGTAAATTGAGTGGATCTTAGCATTCTATAGCAGATTATTTTTGTCTTATCCTGACAACAACCATTTGCCCCCTACCCAAAGTGACAAATATGCGGTCACTGTGATTAAACCTTTAAGATGGGAAGTTCGGTTATTATAAAGGAGAAGAGGACAGTATAAAATAACACTATCGCAGAATTTTCCAAATGTTAGTATGTCCTTTCCATTAGTGTTTCATCATTGATAGGACTGAAAATTACCCAGTTACTTGGGTCACACAAGAAGTTACACAGTGGTTCTCAGGCACTGACCTTTTCAGTTTTATTGGAATTTGGCCTACTGAATCATTATTTAATGATCATTTTATTTTCTATTTATCTTTCATTTATCAGGAGTAAAACTTTTGTGGGTTCCCTTAAGTTATCCCCTATCTTGCCCACACATTTAGTATGAATCTACTATAATACAAAATGTGGAAGGGCTAGGCTCAGTTATGCTTTAAGGAAGTAATAGTTTTTATAACACTATGCACAAATGTGTAATCTTACCCCTGGCTATATATATTTCATTGATTAGCAGAACTTCCTTTGGATGTAATTTTATTTTACATAAATAAGAGAATCTGTTGTACCATTCCTTAAACGTGTAGGACTGTACTTAACTATTGTGAATGCATTCTTATATTCCAGTAGTACAGTGTTTTACCTTATGTAGCTTGTACCTTCTGAATTCACACTGGCTTTTTCCGGGGGCGGGGGAGTAGTGTGGTGTAGTGCTTGTTCTCATTAGCATTGCAACATAATGCTGAAACTGAGCAGTCAGATGTACTTTCTGTTTTATTACATTATAGTAGAACATGTGGTCCTTGGACTAACGCAAAGTAGAAAGGGAGTAACAAGTTGGAAATAAGATCTCCACACAGATGGAGTTAGTGATTCGTGATGTTTCCCAGAGAGTAGAGGTTGTGCTGACCACTTAATTCTGTGATTGTTGAGGTTCAAATGTGGATGCCAAAAATATGGTCAGACCCCATCCTAGCCACCTATATCCACCCACCTAAAGCAAAAGGAATCAGGATAGAGTATACACAAGCAAGTACTTCTAGTAGTGTTTAAATTTTTCTTATGATAATAAGAAATTTTCTACTTAATTTTTCTGAGAAAACTTTATAAATTCTCAGATGGGGTAATTGAATTGAAAGGTTTTCCTAGTCTTACATTTCTCTGATTGGTTGCTTACAGTTAAAAAGGTAACTGAGATGAAATCACGTATAGCACTTTAAAAATTTAATAATATTCCTTTCCACTTAGCATATATGATAATAGAAAGGAGAAAATAAGTGAAGACAAAGTAGAAGATATTTGGATACCTCGAGAGGACAGAAATAATCTCCTGCAAGACTCTGCTTCTGAATCAGAATACTCAACAGTAGAAGAATGCTTTCAGAGTTTAAGAAGAAAAAATTCAAAGGCATCGAAGTCTAGGACTCAGAAAGCATTGAATTTGGACCCTGTTAATCGGCACAGCTATCCTTTAAACTCAACAAGTGGAAATGAGGAGGCATCAGCTGTTTCCGCCAATGCCATCTCTCCCTATGCATGTTTCTATGGGTCTTCTACCATGAGGGTGAAGTCAGGATGGTTGGACAAGCTCTCTCCTCAAGGGTATGTATGTATTCACTTATTTTATTTCGTAAGTCGCATGTATTGATAATTCAAGTTTATTCATTTCTAAACTTGCTTGGTTTCCATAGTCCTTTCAACATTCTCCACACACATACGGTTTTTGAGGATTTGCAGTACACTTTTACAAAAGTACTCTTCGGACGAATGGGGTAAATGTAGTGCAATGTGGTGTCAAGGTTCTCAATAACAGCTTGAGCCTAACGTCATGCCCACACATCTAGATTCTCAGTGTTACTTTCTAACTTCACATCATAATACGCTGTCCTGTATCCCACTTCGTAGCAAAGAAAAACAGCACAGACTGAGTTAGTATTACTCGCCCACACTGTTTGATTTTGTTCATATCACTACAGTGTTCTGTTTGAGAATACAAGGCTTATTGTACTTAGAGAAAAGCACATCATTGTTAGTTTTAGGTCTTCTCTGTTATTGATACATTGTTCTGATTCTTATAGTTGCTCAGAAAATCAGAATTCCTTGAATAGTTACTGTAAAACTGATATATCATTTCAGATGTTTATAAAGAATCTTGTAAGTATTTTACAATACTGAGAAATCTTTGTAGAGGGATATTTTTAAAAATGAGAATTGTTTTCTGGCATCCTGATTTTGGGATTTATTTTTTTTGGAAATATTTACTTGCAGTGTTTCTCATAAATTACTAAATTTTGGGAGAATTAAACCTCTCATGTTTTAGTAGCTAATGTTGTAAGTGCCTATAATATGCTAGCTTTTTGTACTTTGGTTCAATGTAAAATAATTTTACTAGGAAAAAAGATTAAAAGAAGTTTGTGATGACAGGTAGGAACAAGAATGACTTTTTTCTCTCCCTTTCGTGGTGGTTGTCAAGGGTTGCACACAGGACCTTTACACTGAGCTGCATCCCTACTGTTTTTCTTGCTTTTATTTTATATTTTGAGATAGGGTCTTGCTAAATCTCTTAAGTTTCCCAGATGGAGCTCAAACATCTGATCTCTTTGCCTCAACTTCCAAGCATGCTGAGATGACAATATGCAGCACTATACACGGTTGGAATTACATTCTTTACAAAGCAAAAATAAGCAAAAGCATGATGGCGCATGCTTGTAATCTCAGCACAGGGGAAGCTGAGGCATGAGGATCCTGAGCTTGAGACCAGCCTAACCTACATAGCAAGTGTAAGGCTGGCCTGGACTACACAGTGGGATACTGTTTCAAAAAAAAAAGTGTGACAACCTATAATTTTGTGCTAATAATTATATGATTAATATATTACTTTATATCATTGCATCTTTTAAAAAATTAGATTTTGAAGTAGTGTACTTTTTATTAGCAGTTGTCTGTGTCAATCCGTTTGATTACATTGTGAAGACAAGGTAGTAGACTGTGTATTTTGTATTTTTCAGTCATCAGTATAATTAGTAAATGCAGGGGCTGGGGATTTAGCTCAGCGGCAAAGCGCCTGCCTGGCAAGCGCAAGGTCGTGAGTTCGGTTCCTGGTACTGGAGGAAAAAAAAAAAAAAAAAAATTAGTAAATGCATATTTCAATAATAAAAGCATGAGTTAGCCCTCCATTTGTGGAATAAAACAGTGAGCTTGACTACTCTGAGAATTTTCACTTCTGTAAAATGTAGGTGTTTCAGGAGTCCCAAGTGCTGTCAAAGCATCGTGGGGAGTGTTAGCAGACTGGGTGTAAAGTGTGCAGCAGCTGGCGTTTCCTGAGTGACGTCTTGTGGTAGGTTGCACTTTACAGCTTGGTACCTGAAGACGCAGTGAAACGGCTTGATCAGTTTTGGCCACCTTTGGACTAATTGGATATTTTTCTTCTCTCTTTATCAGAATTTGATTATGTACACTTTCTTTCTGACTCTGCCTAATGTTAGATGGTAGAAGGTCTTTAAATTTATATGTTTATGTTTTAAGGGAAGAGATTGAGGGTTTTTGTCTTAAAATTTTTCTCTTGGATATAAGTATGAATGGAGATACATAACTATACTGCTGTGATTTAAACGCGTTAGCTGTCCATAAAGTATGGATGTATTAGATTCTAACTGGAATTTGAGATTTGTCCTTTCCTGTTAGACTCAGTGGGCTGTTTCAGAGGTGTGTATGACGCTCCTTAATTAGACAAGGTGATGCCTGCCCATTCCTTGTGCAGAAATTTTAATGTGGGGCCACCTGGCTGGTGCAGGGATTCCAGAGAGAGGTGGAATGTGAATTCCATACATCAGGTGCCAACAGAAATTTTCTGTAAAGGGTCAAATAGTAAATATTTTAACCTCAATTCAGGTTTCTTTTGCAACTATTCAGTGTGGTATTTGTAGCACAAAAACACATTAATAATATATAAACCAGTGGGTGAGGTTGTATTCTAATAAAACTTTAGAAACTATGTGGTGGGCCAGATTTGGCCCATGGGCCCATACAAGCATTAGCCAGGTTATGTTGTTGGCTAAAATCTCATAACCAGTGTACTCTATCTCCTGTGGTCCCTCAGTAAAAAAATATAACCTGATCACAACATAGGGAAAATCACTTTCTATTATTCCCTTAAATATAAAAATAAGAAACCAGGGTCCATTTTGGGGGCCTTTACTCTTGCTCTTCTTTTTACATGAAATTCTCCCAGAAAGTATGGTTTGGACCCCATCTTTCTCGAGTTCTTGCTTTGTATTTAAGCAAAAAAGCAATTAAACATTACAGCTGTCCCTCTACCTATTGCCCCGTGATTCCTTTATTTTCTTCGTGAAGCCTCATATTGAGGAAGATTCATTTATTTTATGTGAGCTCCATAAGGGCCTGTAATGGCTTGTGTGCAGGTGCACCCCAAAGCATCACACACTTTTAGATGGGTTTTTTTCCAGAGGTAGCTGAGTCTAGAGTGTGTGATTGACTCATAGTGCAATGCTGGAATGAAGAGTTCGGGGTTAAGGGTGGGTGATGTTGGATCAGTCCACTGATTGGATTGGCACTTCCCTGATCCCAGTAGACTGGATACAATATAAGGGACAGAAAGAGGCTTCTCTTCTCTTTCATTGCTTTTTCTCTCTTCCACCACCATGAACTGTTGCCCCTGTGCCATGTGTCCTTCTGTGCAGCCAGCCAATTATGGACTGAAACCTCCACAAATTGTGAGCTAAATAAACTTGCCTCCCTTTAACTTGGGATGTCGGGTATTTTGTCTCAGTAGTGAGAATAATAAATAAGATAGGGACAGTTGTCCACACTGCTTTTGTTTACTATGGTATTTCTAGCAGAAAGTTGCCTAGCACAGGGTAGATATATTGTTGAAAGAGTCACTAAAAGTATTAGCCTTAGATGTTACTGTTTCTTTCCATATTTTTTACTATGGGACTTTGTAATATAAATTGCTGAACTCAATATTGTATTAATGGATGAAAGTCTGCCAGTGCCGTTGAGAGCACTGGTACATATTAACACAGCAGAATACTTGGTGATTTTTTCATAATTATGTTTGTCTTTTAAAGACATGTACTCAGATTATTAGAATACAGCTGTTTGAAAAGCTGCCCGTCAGTATAAATCAGGAATGTTTGAAACTGTTCTCCATCCTGACAGTAAACAAAACAACAAAGTGCTTAATCTGCATTTGTTTTACCATGGTTGAGTGTCTATTTGCTTTTGAAATGGAAATGCCAATCCTGAATTAATGCATAGTTTTTAAAAATTACCCAAAGTTTAGTTAAGAAATAATTGTATAACATTATGCAACAAAATAAATAGTAAAATATTTCCAGTTAAACTTACAATATGAAAAATATTTAAATAACCTAGTTTTAATATAGTTTACGATCATTTGCCGAAAAAAAATTGTATGGGAGTAGCTTGATAAAGTGTTGAAACAGTCTTTTACCAGTGTGTGTTTAACAGGCCAAAGCATATGAAAACTTAACAAAGGGTACTTATTTTAAAAACTATCTCTCTAGACCTTGAGAGTGAAATAAATACCCCTACCTTTTCCTTAATTAATAAGTTTAAGCTATCAATAATAAGCTTAAGTTTTTCAAATCCATGTACATGCAGATATTAAAGACTGTTATAATTTATTCTGGCACTTCCCAAATACTTGGAGAAAAAGAGTCCTGAGATTGGCTGTAAAGAAAAAAGAACACAGTAGAATGTGCTGCACTGCTTTGAGGAGATGTGCAGATTGAAATCGCCAAGAGTGTTTGCAACAGGGATGTCCTTATGACTTTTTAAAGGATTGATAGGTTGCACTAACCAACCATGGACAAAAACTACACGGGAAAGTGAGCCTAGGACTCAGCAGCTGGACTCATGAGCTTAGCTCAGTAACCTGAGGTACAGAGATGAGCAAGATGTGTTCTGTGCCTTTTTGTGGCTTCCATTTAGGGCAGAAAATAAAGAAAGGTATATGTACTTATATATGATATATTGTGTACAATACCAAATTCAAAGTGGAATAATCGGTACCCAAAAGGTTACAGAGTGCAGAGTCTTAGGGAACAGAAGGTTGAGAAAGCATTTCTTGGAAGACCTCCAGGAGGCTGAGTTAGCCACTGGATTGGCCTTTGAAGTACAGATAAAATTTGAACTTACATTTTTAGCTCGAATGATTTTCTAACTAAAAGGAATGAAAAGGCCCTGAGGTAGTGATGTCAGGAAGTACTGAAGTGTGAGACTGAGAACAGGGCTTCGGCCCAAAATGGATGTGGGAGTTATTTTATTGAAGATGAAAAGTTAACTTCTAGGACCAGAAGAGAGAATCTGCCAAGCACAGGTTGGAAAGGGAACTGGGGAAAATGAAAAAGCCAGTGGTCAACTGTGAAGAAGACGAGAAACCGAACAATGCCTGGGAGTGAGACCATCTACAGTCTAGTGGCCCTGGCAGGAATTTAGAGTGTATAATATTTGTGCTTGTGTCGTGGACTGGTTTCCCAGCCCGTGTCCCAACTCTGAGACTGCTTTGTGGAGCGAGTTGCCAGGCTAGCACACTGGGCTGCCTCGGGTGTCCTGGT